AATAGAATAGAATAGAATAGAATAGAATAGAACGATTAATGGAATAATGTTGTATGTATGATTTCAATATATAGAATATTTTGTTTAAAACATAGGAATAATAATTGGAGTTGAACTATTGAGGCAAAATGATGTTGTATGTATGGATTCAATATTCAGACTATCTTGTTTAAAATTAAGGAATAATAATTACAGTTGAAAAATTGACATTTAATAATAATAACGTACTTATGCTTATCTAATGAACAACTTGTGATTTGATATATAATTGTAAGTGGTGATCATGTGAAAGACGCACAAAATCTTGTAACCAAATGACACGCTATATGAAATGGAAGAAGGTTGCATGTGTTTTATCTTTTTTGTTCGTTTTTGTTTGCTATTTTTTTTTTTTTTAAGTATAACATCCTGAACTCTGCTGAAAAAAAATTGGATGGCAAAATGGCTAGGGGCATGGTTGCAGTTTTGGGATCAAAACAGTAAAATAATGGTGAGCATGGAAGTACAAGGCTTCTGCACAATCAAAAAATTTTTTCTCACCTCCCTCCAACTCTAAAATAAGGGCTATTTTAAAAGGGCTATGATTGGGGAACCCCAATTCCTTCTTGTGAAATTCCTGTGTCATCAGGGCACTACTATCTATGGTTGTTGGCCAGTTGAGAGATTGAGTTGGAGCCTCTAAGCCAAGCATTGCCTGCCTTAGTTAAAGAGCAAAGGATTCAAATTTTTGCACTTGAGTAAATATTGGAACAATATGGACAAAATCCTTCTCTTGACATTCATATAATCGGTTGAAGAACTTTTGAATCGTATCAGCATAACTGTAAGAATTTGCTCAAAAGCATTAAGATAAAACGTAACTTTTCGTCGTGCCAGAAAACTCACTTTTTACATTTTGACTTAGCATCAGTTGGAGGAAAGATATTACAGGTAGTTCTTGACTTGCAACAGTTCATTTAGTAACTGTTTGAAATTACAATGGCACTGAAAAAGTGACTTATGAATGTTTTTCACATTTATGACTGTTGCAGCATCCCCATGATCATGTGATTTACCATTGGATGCTTGACAACGGGTGCATGTTTATGACCATTGCTGTGTCCTGAGGTCATGTGGTTCCCCCTTTGCGACTTTCTGGCAAGCAAAGTCAGTGGGGGAAGCCAGATCCACTTATCAACTGTGTTACTAACTTTGTTTACTAACTTAGTAAAGTTGTTAACTCTAACTGTGTTACTAATTGTCTTACTAACAACTGCAGTGATTCATTTAACAAATGTGGCAAAAAAAAGTTGTAAAATGGGGTAAAACTCACTTAATTTTTCACTTAGCAACATAAATTTTGGGCTCAATTGTGGTCGTAAGTTGAGGACTACCAGTATTGATTTTATTATTAGTTCAACTCTTATTCCCCAAAATTAATTCTACCTTTACATACGATATTCAGGATCTCCGTGGCACATGGGCCACAGGTGGTACGCAAAGCCCTCTCTGTGGGCACACCAGCCGTCGCCCCAGCCCAGCTCCATCGTGTATGCGTGTACGTCTCCCACCATCCAGCTGGTCTTTGAGTCTCTACCGTGCACATGGTGGTGGGGAGCATGCAGGGGACATGTGTCTGCATGGGTGGGGGCGCATGCACAGGGGGCAGGACGCATGCATGGAGAGCACTTGCATTGCATTTTGGGGTCTCATGCAGCACCCCCATGGGCCTAGGGGGACGTTTTGCGCCTGGAAAGCCTCCTGCACCAACCTGGAAGCCAAAACGGAGCATGGGGGTGCTGTGCGAGGCCCCCTCTTACCCCATTTTGGGCCTGGAAAGCCTCCTGCACCAACCTGGAAGCCAAAAATGGGCAAGGGGGGATGGGGCACATGCGCAGGGGGGCAGTTGAGCACGGGGCGGTCACACGTGTGTGCGTGCGTGTGTACTGTTGTGCAATGCATGAGTGCATGCACTTTCAGCACGTGATGACAAGAAGGTTAACCATCACTGCTATATATGATGCTTGTTCATGAAGCAGGTCATTCTCTTCTCCTTCACCCTACAGCCTTCATGGCTCCTTGAAAGCATCTCTGGAGGATCTCAGGAGATTCTAGGACAGAATTTGAGGGAATTTGAGGGAACATGGAAGGGACTGGAGAGTGATTTGTCTGACACCAACAATGGAATGAGTCTTCTAACTTTGTCAATAAGAGAGCTCAGATGGATAGATTCTTCAAATGATTATTTTTATTAGTCAAATTATTGGGCAAGATTGTTGTTAGCCACATGTTTGATTCTTGCTAATGTATGGAGATTAAAAACTAGATACAGATCTATTAAATATACTTCTTCTTAGGTAATGGTATTAATATAAGAACTAAACATGTTAGTTAATTAAATAATTTTACTAACTTAAATCATCTGTATTTGATTAGGAACATTTAAACCAAAACATGTTCGTATGTTGCCAATTCCTCAGTGAATCGAAAGCCCTACCACCTATTGCTAAAGAAAATGTCTTCTATTCTCCACTCCACCTGCATTTTTGGATTTTCTATTACTGCGAGACACCAGAGTCAAAACAGCTTCAAATAGCTTTAGCAAAATACATTTCTAATTTCAGTAACGGGGGAAAAAAACTCTCATCAGCTAAACCTAATCTTCTGAAACTGAATAATGAAACCATACAGTATTACAGTGCATTACAGACAGCGGTGAAATTCAGCAGGTTCAGACCGGTTCTGGAGAACTGGTAGCGGAAATTTTGAGTAGTTCAGAGAACCGGCAAATGCCACCTCTTGCAGAGTAGGGTGGGAATGGGGATTTTGCAGTCTCCTTTCTCTGCCACGCCCACAGAACAGGTAATAAAAAAAATGAATTTCACCACTAATTACAGAGGAAAATTTGTCCATTGTTTCAGATTTTACAAGAATAGTTAGTAGGATTTCCAGGGTATATAAATAAGGTATGAGCATGGAAGTAAGGCAATATTTTGGACAGAGAGGTGTAACTTTTTGCAATTCTTGACTGCTCAATTTTATTCTCTTGACAAAAATGCTCAGATTGTCTGATTTAAGCCAGAAGGAATTGTCTGAAGTTTTTTTCTTCCCTCAGTTCTGTGCAAGAAGCCGGGTTCAAGCATCCCTAAAAGATGGTCCTGTCAACCTTCACCTGCCACATTTTATATTTGAATAAAGATTGGAAGTCATAAAACTACCTAATGATTCAATGCATTTTTTTCTTGATCATGAGCCCATTTTTAATGTTTCCCTCCCAAAAGAATAGTTTTGCAAAGTCCTAATTTATAAGTCTTAATCATTTGCCTTTTACTTCATAGTTCACTGTGTTTTCCAGAACGAAGAGCCTGAACTGGTACATCATCTGAGTCAGTAATAGTATCCTATTTTCTTCACTACCGATTCGGTAGAAGGAACGCAGAAGGTCTGTGATGATGTCTGGGTGGGTGGGCGGAGCTTTGTGCCGCTGCCACAACCGGCTAAATACCATCTTAGATCTGAGTCCTAAAACCACTTGCTAAATGGTGATCTATGTTGACCATGCAAGAGCTTCCAATGTTGGCCATCCTTTAGTTGCTTTTGGTTAAGGTGATGCATGTGGATTACACTGACATGTAGGCAGTGCAATTTTATTAAGTGTCTTGTGTTTACTTTTAAAAAAAACCCAGAAGAGTACTCCCTTTATGCCTCCCAAAAGTTTTGAATGTGGTTTCTGCTCGTAGCCATCAAATTAAGATTGGTTGTATCATCTTCGAAAAGTCTCTTAGTAGAATCTCTGAACCATTATGGAATTTATTGAACTTAATTAACAGAAGCCAATATTTTACATAAGTAATTAAATGAGTTGAAAGTGTTGCATGACTCTCCCATCTGTTGGAAGCAACAGCTAAATTGCGGTACAAATTAAAACACAGACTGCAGGTATTGAGTGTGTGGCTATACACCGTTTCGACGATGTGTCTATTTACATATAAATTATGCAGTTTAAATAGCTTGCAGTATATCCGTCTTATTTTGAATTGTTATTTTTATCTTCGATGGTGGAAATGCTGAATCAAAACAAGGTGGGTAAACAATAGCATTTTAATGGCCATTTTAACCAACTTCCCTCCTACTTTGGCATCCATTCAGCTGACTGTGTTTGTTGAGCATGGTAGACTTTTAAAGAAGCATTTTCAACATAGCTGTGAAAAGGACCACCAATTTATTTTTCAGCATACAGCTAAACTTAAAGAAATAGAGGAACTAAACCAGTGGTGGGATTCACTCTACACTAGTTATATTGGACATCAACTATTACAAGTCCTAACCAGAAGGCTTAATACATCTAGAACACCAAGTAAAGAGGGGTTGGTTTTATCAGTCAAATAGAAGAAGGAAATTTAAGAAGTGTAGCTTTATAGTCTTACCATTATACTTGAAAAGCAGTGCTTGTCCAGAATACATTTTTCTTCCAGGCAGAATGATAGAAAACACAATCGGACGAGAATTTTAGTGATGCATTTGGACCAAGGCACCTTTGAGCTCTAAAATGAATCAGCAGCTCATCAGAAGACGGTGATGCTAGGAAATGATGCTTGTGATAAATTGGTACTAACATTCTTTGTTAAAGCTGCCAAGGGCTAATTAGGTGTTATATTCCCTCCTCCCTTTTCCCTGACCACTAGGATGGAAATTGTGTCTCACACAGACATTCACACCCCAGAACATACAACAGCTTCAACCTTTTGATGAATATTTGTGACTTTATTGTTTGATACTTTCCATCAAAAAAGTCTCACTTTCACCCAATTTAAACGTCTGTTCGTTAGAAGGGCCCATGAGATTAAATGTTTAATGACACATGAAGGATTGGAGTGCTGTCTTCTTCTTAACAAGGTAATTTTCTGAATGTATAACTATCTTTTTTGCAAGGGAGTTTTTCTTCTTTAGAGTAGCCTCTTTTGCAGAGGGCAGTCATGTAAAATTAAAAATACTGTATGTAACAAGAAGAACAACTAAGTGACCACTAAGAGTTATTCTCACATGACCCGTTGAGCAGACGCATCACTTCTGTACTAGGATTTGCATCTATCATATTAATCTAGTTGTTGTTCTTCTCAAATTGTCAAACTTGCTGCGTCATGTTGCTGTCACATGACGTTTCATAATGTTTTTACCATTTGCGGAGGTGGGACGGGCATCGTTTACAAGTGATGCATCCCACGCATGGCCCGCCAGTTTGACACCCCTGGACTGGAGTAATGCTTCTTGACTTTATATTTTTTCATAGAAATTGGTTGAACACATTGACCATAGAAAACTCCACACTCTGAAGCCATCTATTGGTCATCTGGAGATTTGTGATCCAACTATGAGTTCCTTAGGTGATACCAGCGTGGTACCAGTGGTGGGTTGCTAACTGGTTTACTACCGGTCCACTCGTGCTTGCTCGCGCATGCATGCACTGCTTCTGCTCATGCGCAGAAGTGTCCGGGGGTGGGTGGGCGAAGTCTCCTACCACTACTGGTTTGGCTGAACTGGGCTGAACNGGATGGATAGATATGGATGGAGAGATATGGATGGAGAGAGAGAGAGGGCTATATAATAGATAGATAGATGGCAGATAGACAGGCAGACAGAAATATTTTCTGTATGGATAAAACTAGCTGTTCAGTGTTGAATCAAGGAAGCCCATGTAGTTGGAATCCCAAGTGAGTCCTTCCAGAGACCAATTCTACTAAACACAGTTTAAAAAGAAAAACACCATAGCCCAAGTATGCTCCACCTCTTACCTTCCAACTCCTTCTTCCTCCTAGAATACGGAAGTCCACCTACCTGCGTTTACAGCTCCTGGCCAAAGAGGAGTACAAACTGAGCCAGCTGATGGAAGAATCTTTGCTGGAGGACAAAATCGCCCCCATCTTGTACCAATTGCACCTCGAAGCCATGGACCGGAGGCTCCGGATAGTCCTGAAGGCCATCAGGGACTGTATAGAGAAAGGAAGTTACAACAAGGTGGTGGAGAATGACTTTGCCTCCCCGAGGAGCACCGTCACAACCGAGAGGTAGTGACAACGGACACGCCGTCCTTCAACGCCACTGAAGAAAGATCAACACGTCGACCAAGCCACCCAACCCAACAGTCTCGCAAAAGACTGTGCGTAGGCCAACGTTTGAATTCAGTGAATTCAGGAATCGCTCTTCTAATTGTTCTCCAAGTAGCTAAGGCGTAGACTCTGCAACAGATATTAAGACTGAGAGTAACAGGTAGCTCTGCCGTCAACCGTCCTCGGGGCAATCCACGTGTTCTCCGTGGGCGCGGTCTCCCACCTGCCGTGTTTTTGTTCCCCATCCAGCCTCACTTGACTTAGGTTCTAAATTATTCTCCATCATCAGCGAGGGCTTTGGAGTCCACCTGTGGGCGGAGCTTCTGGCAAGCCCCACCTCCCCCCGCCCCCGTGCTTTCATTTCTCCAACCGGCCAGTGATTTCACAGCCCCCTCTTCTTTCTCCTTCCTGATCCTTAAGCACAAGTGGCAACACCACCACCACCCCTGCACATATAGACACACTCCCGCTGGGAAGACCCAGTAGGAAATGCTATCACGTCATCCAAATATCCTGGAGCCGACTTCATCTGCAGGACAAGGAACTCCCTTGTCCTCGTCGCAGTTTTCCCAATAGAATTAGGAGAAAATAAATAAACATGGAAGATTGGGACACGGGACCTTCTCACTGGCTGGAGCGACTTTCCCGTTCCTTCCCTCCTTTTTTTCCTTTGTACAGAAAGCTGGTCTTTATTTAATATTTTGTATTTATCGGACGCGGTGGCTGACTCAGCGGCTAAGATGCTGAGCTCGTCGATCAGAAAGGTCGGCCGTTTGGCGGTTCGAGTCCCTAGCGCCGCGTGACGGAGTGAGCTCCCGTGACTTGTCCCAGCTTCTGCCA